AAGGCTCGATTGGCATTTGCCAACTTGAGACATTTGTGGCGCCGTCACGATATCCGGTTGTCTGTGAACGGTCGAGTATATGCTTCAGCGGTTCTGCTTTACGTCGCAGTGAATTGGCAATTACGGGAACCGGATAAACATAGGTTACCGGTGTTCGAACACCGCTGTCTACGTANNGGGAAAACCGGACGAGTACTACTGAGGTTAGGCGTAGAGTCTTAGGTAATCGCGGTCGTCCACTGGAACAGGTAGTCGACCTCCATAGATTACGCTGGTTGGGACATGTGCTACGCACATCACCAGATAGGTTGCCACAGTGAGCGATGCTAAGCAAAGCAGGTAGCGGTTGGAAAAATATGAAAGGCGGTCAAGCTAAGACCTGGCATGAGGGTATGAAAACCCTGACCAGGAAACTGGCTCACATAGGTCCCGTTGGGCTCCCTGCCTGGGGACCCAGAGATCATGGTCACCGGTGGTTAGTGACACTGAGTGATGGATGCGTGTCGCAAACTGTGGTGCTCATGCATCTCATTATTCTTGTAACTTCAGTCTATGAAATTGTCCTACCTTTCGCTTAAATCCGTTCTCAACATTCTAATCATCATTCTGCTATTTTATCCAAATGGACAACAAAAACCGGCCCACGAAAGTGCATAGTTGATGGTCGTAAGAGCCGAACTGAACTGAACGTAAGATATATTGTGCGAACGATATTTTTCCGACAATGGAAGGCGCAAACTCATTCCAGTTTGTTCAGATGAACTGAAGATTTCATTATGGGAAATAATTGAAGCGGTGGATTTTCCCGTCCCATAGTTTTTGGCATAACTCGTTAGATAGATCGATCAGACGTAAAGAATAACAAAACTGAACTTTTTGGTCTACTTCTACGGCTGTCGAAATTTCATACATGACAATGATTCATATAGTCTCTGTTTGAAAGAATCTATTATGGGCATGGAAACAACTAGAGCAGATACGGAATTCCCATTACACACTGAAGGCAAAAGAAATGACACCTGTTTTATAGTCCAATTTTTGGAGCACTAATTCGACTGGACGCCTCCGTGAGGAGAATTTCGGCTGACAGCGAACGTCGTGCATGGTCACGGTTCTGTATTACTTGATACACCGAAACCAAGGCTCCTTAAATTCGCCGATACTGAGCACAAAACAAACCTAATGATTGGAGTATTTCAACACAGGGCTTGGGATGCAGCCTTTGATCATCTTCGTGGCCATTATTTATGGACGTTTCAAATTCTTACCATCGCGTTGCAGTCCGGAAGTCCACGCGTAAATGGTGCATTGAATCTGCGGTGGAATGTAGGCCGGTAAAATACGTGAGAAAAACATTGCTTCGTATTTAGTCGCTTTTGCGAACCGATATCTTACAGCTCCGGCCGAGGCTTTGAACAGCTTCTAAACCATCTCAGGTTGGTTTGAGAGTTGATAGCAAGGTCATTCTCATACGGGGTATTTGGAAGTCATTGATATCCCAGGAAAAATGGAAACCGAGTTTTGTGGCGAAAAGATTCGACGGTACATTTTGATGCACTGAATTCGATCGGCCATTTACAAACTGCACTTCTCGGTAGTGTCGGGTTTTGTCACTGTATTCTATATTTTCGCATCCTCAAACAACGTTTATGGTTCCCGAGCGTCCCTTAGACCGTTTATGAAAACTAAAGAGCTAAGAAACATGCACGGATTTCTGTTGTACTCCTCAGCCTAGGTACCTTGTTGGATAAGTTATTCTACCCAATATGGCACAAGTACCCAGTATTTTGTGGTTTACGCGGGAAAACCAAGGTACACTGTCCATTAAATCACCATGGTGAGCTGCTGTTGTCTATTCTTCTCGGGTTAGAGCTTGTTGCAATACGTGGAATTTAATAAACTGAGCTGGGGTCACTGTACTCACATTCATCCGGTCAATTAAGGGTTTACACCGAACTAAGAAGAACGTTCATCACCAGCAGCGCCGTCCGTCAAGGATGCCCTCTTTCGCCGTTCCTGTTCAATTTCGTCGTAGACGAAATACTGAAGAGCGCACTACGGGAATTCAAAAGGTAGGTATCGAATGGGCATCTGGTGAAAAGCTGCGCAATTTAGAGGATGCCAATGACATCGTGTTTGTTCGAATGTAAGGAGGACGCGCAAAGCGCACTTGACAGATTAACAAGTGCAGTAGCCACAGTCAGTGTGCCTCGCGTCTTCAAAATGCGAAGTGATGCTGCAAAATTGGAACTAAATGATCAGGAATTAGTCATGATCGATTGCTTTTCTTATTTAAGCAGTCGTGTGCCCAATAACGGTTGCGCAGCAAAGGAGATAACCGCCCGCATTTCCAAGGCCCGAGCTGCGTAAACAGGATTCAATCACCTTTGGCTTCGGAGCACGACGTTTCACTGAAGCTGAAAGGTCGTGTATATTGTGCTAGTGTTCGTTCAGTCCTGCTTCATGGTTGTGAGACCCTGAATTTGCGAGTAGAAGATATCTGTCGACTAGAAGTTTTCGATTATTGGTTTCTACGCAGTTTAGCCCACATTGGATGGAAAGAACGGGTTAGTAACGCGGAGGTAAGCCGTCGTGCGTTTGTCAGGTGTAAACCCGCTGGCGCACCGAATTCAGATTAGTAGACTTCACTGGCTAGGGCACGTATCGTGTATGCCCAGCTGTTGTCTGCCTCATCGCGCTTTATTCGCCATAGCTAATCCGGGCTGGAGGAAATCGCGTGGAGGTCAACAGATGACGTGGAGACGAGGCATGAAGAAATGTACAGAGCCATTAGGTAGAGTAGGCCTCTCTCGTCATCCAGGTTGGGGTCCGAAAGACTCCACAACCGGTTGGTTGGAGACATTGAAGGATATGGCAGCGAACCGGCAGCAGCGGCATTCTTATTGTCATTTCTTATTAGGTCAGAATGCTTGAAACGGTATGTGTGCAGAGTTCGATTGCGTACTCTGTGTTGACCATAGAGGTCCACTTTCTTACCCCTCCCTGTCCACGTTATATACTACCACTAACCTTGTATGCATTGCGAGTTTGGCAGCGATCGGTGAAGTTCGCTTCACTGTATTTTTCCATACGATGATGATGATGAATCGTAACCAAAAACATCACGGTATCGCCACCGCTCCCTAATGGGTTTGTAGTATAAATCAATTCTTCTTTTCCTAACACCAATCGTCAGACCAAAGATGACAGGTTGGTCACTTCACAGAATTCCAAAATGGATATGATATGATTCAAAAACCAAATTATTTCAACAACTATTTAGAGTGCTTTCACTAAGTTGGGTTGGACCCATTTAAAGTTGCTTGCTAGCCAAGATGAGGGAGTGCCAGAACTAGGGCCGAGGTACCGTGTTACGCGCCAGTTAGATAAACAACACTTGACTATACCCGAAGGACCCAATACACTCGGATGCAATTGGATTGAATTTGTCACAAGGACGAGGGTTCTACGGCGGACTTCTATTACCATCCAATGTCTTGTTTTAGTATCCTGAATGTACCTAATGTCACGTCCAGATAAACATTCTTCCAAAACGTTTATTAGGAACGTGAGTTGGGTGCGGAAATGTGAACTTCGTGGTTAGGACAAAATGCCTGATTGGAGTCGGGAAGCACGACCTCAGTACGACATTGACTTTTAAGCAACATTAATTCGTGCATGTGCATGTACCAAATCCATTGCGAAAGCAATAATGACAACTGAGTTATTATGCAAGTGATATACTCGAGAGAGAAAAAACGCAACCAGAGGAAATGTACAAGTGAGGTTCAGTAAGAATCACTGAAGGACCAGGCACCAGGTTCACAGCAAACCTTCCATTTCGCGCATGAACTCCTCGTAGGCATCATCTTTGCTAGTGGCAGAATGAGAAGCACTCCCAGATGAAACTGTGCTCATAGAACCATCGGCACGTGTGACACGGTCGTAAGCAGCACCCGTGGATTCTAGTTAGAGAAAAATCGGTTGGAAGAAGGAAGTGATAACATTTTAGTCAGGGACACCATAGTTTCTCCGGAAAAGATCATTACAAATATAGCTTTGAAACCACTGGAAGTTGCACCAAGATGTTTTCATAACTTCGTTTCATCGTCCAATAAGGAACTAAGAATCGTCTAATGGTCTTACATAGGGGACATGGCGATATGGCCTTTAAACCGTGCATGCCACCAGCGCCAAAACAATAATAACAATGTAATGGTGAGAGGAACCGACAACGGAATACTGGAGACATCGGTGTATCGAAAACAAACACATACGGATCAAGTACTGAACTTTCAAAGTAACCATCCAAATATTCACAAGTCGTCCGCGTACGAACTCTTTTTAAGAGAGCCAGAACACATTGCAGCACAACGGAACTAAGAAAACAAGAAGAGAAGTATCTCTTCAAAATTATTCCAACGAAACGGATACCCAAGAAACTTCATACGGAGAATCTTGTACAGAACAAACGGAGAGCCAGGTCAACGAACACAATCCGACAAGAAGATAGTACTTCCATACATCAAGAATATCTCGGAAATGGCGGCAAGAATGCTCAAACCACAAAGCATTATGATTGCCCACAAGCCTACGAAAACTATGAGAAGAAACATTTCAAGGTCGAAGGGACAAATCAAAAAGGACGAGCGAAGAAATGTCATCTACAAAATCGAATGCAACAGTTGTGACAAATGTTACATTCGACAAACTGGAAGAAACGTTGCAAAAAGAATTCATGAACACAAACTTGCGGTAAGACGACACGACCCTCTTTCATTGATGTCCGAGCATGAGGACCAAGACAGACATAAGTTCAATCTGGATAACTTTCACATTCTAGATCACGCACAAGGCATTCAAAAGAATTCCTGAAAGCATGGAATTCATCAACAAACTCAATCAATAGATACATCGAACTGGACCCAGTTTACAATCTTCTAAGGCGCAAGGTCTCCAACTTATCCACGAAACAGAAGAGGAGTGGGCCGGTTCAATACCCACCGGCCCATGACCGGAAACCCAATACCATGCAAAAAAGAACCTTCAAATTTATTGTCAAGTGAAAAAATTCAAATTATTAACCAATGCAAAAGGTTTGGTGCAAATGCTACTAAATATGGTAACACTGACGGATCAAGGTCATAGTCAGAGGTCAACTTATTAAATGTAGTAACTTTGGTGCGCAAAGGTCATCTCTATAGCAACCACCAAAAGTCAAGTTACCAAATTTAGTACCGTCTCCAAGGTACAGCCAGAACAATTCTCAAGGTCAAACCTAGGGTAGGAATACTATGGATAAAGACAAGTACAGGGATCATTACCAACACACTGAAGATGTCACCTCGGCTGGTGATGAAACGTTTGATACCAAAACGCCAAGCTCAGCGAACACAAGACCCAACAAACCATCAACCTGAGCTACAAACCACACCCATATTCAAATCGGTTAAAAAAGAACTGAGAGATTCACTACGGAATGGATTGCATATTTTAAAGCCTCATCAGTCACCGAATCTGGGGGCATTCAACGT